TTGTTCAATAAAAACGAATATCTATCGTCCCCTTGGGATGATTTTTAAATCGTTCAATAAGAATGATGATCTATCGTCCCTTTGGGATGATTTTTTAAATCGTTTTTAATGAACGATGATGTAATATCCCTTTAGGATGATTTATTTGATTGTTCTAAATGAATGATGATTCATCATCCCTTTAGGATAATTTTTTAAATTCTTCTTAATGAATAATGATCTATTGTCTCTTTGGGACAATTTTTTAAATTGTTCAATAAAAACGAATATCTATCGTCCCCTTGGGATGATTTTTAAATCGTTCAATAAGAATGATGATCTATCGTTCCTTTGGGATGATTTTTTAAATCGTTCTTCTTGAATAATAATGTATCATCCTAAAAGGAATGATTATCTTTATCGTTTCTTAGAAATGATTTGTATCTTCTCTTAAGAACAATTTCTATTGTTCCTTTGTGACGAAGTTTCCAATTAGACGATTTTTGTATTATCCAATTGAACCAATTGGAATTGAAATTTTGGCTTAACTCCAATCGACCATAAATCAGACAGGTTGATTTAGGTTGATTTTTAGCTGATTGATGATTATGTCTGATTGACAGAAGATTAATAGACGATTTATCACATGTCTGATTTTTTTGATTTCAACTAATGACGCATTAAATTAAAATTTTGTGTTAGTTAAAGTTCTTATAATTAATATATTTCTTTATTGTAAATATAGGAAACATAATTGGCTTCTTATTCTTTATTCCGTTTGGCATTCTTGTACAATGTTTATCTGCTTTTAGTTTTATTTAATGTAAATTGCTTCTTCACAATATGATAAAAATTAATTTTGTAAGATAGCAATAAAAGCATGAAGTAGCGTAAAAGAAAAGAATAATTCCACCAGTGTATATGTCATACACAATGAGATAAGCTTGTTATATATAATTTGAAAGATAACTAGGTTATTCACAGGATATAGATATAAACATATGCACGTAAGCACATATGATTATTATATATTCCATGCATAAACTTCAAATTTCATATGAAATAACAAGAATTTATTCTATTAGACTATTTATTTTAAATTTATAAGTAAACACTAATACTAGTCTTCAATTAAGAAACGGGTAAGTTTGATTAGTTTTATTTAATTTTTTTTTGTTTGATTTTTACATGAAATAGACAAAAGGGATCAACTGGTGAAACTTCCCTTTTTGATGTTTTGTAGCACTTCCAAAAATAAGTAATTTGATCTTATCACAACCAGCATTTACTCTTACACAAAATAACCAAGTACTTGCTTTATACTATAATAATTATAGAGCTCTGAAATTTCTAGAAGGAAATTTCATATTACGAGATGGTTTGACAACTGCAAAATGATTCAAAAAGTATTTTTCTGTCCATTTTTTGTCATTCCACCAAATCTGTGATGATCAAGACAATTGGTTGTAATAGTTGTAGTAAGTTTTATTCATGCAAGTTTGTATAAATATTTTATACTTTTGTTATTCGCATATAACTTCTCTCGCCATATTTGTAAAGTCTAAAGGCATTTCTTTATTTATTTAAGGATAGTCTTGATTTTATTAAACTAGATTATTAATTCATGTAAATATGTTTGTCTGAATAATACTGCATCATTGAAGTTCAGACTTTTTAGAAATTTAGAAACCATTATCCTTAGCTTAGTACGTCAGACAATCGTCAAACAAAACATTACATTATTAGAAAATAGCAAAATAGGTAAGATAATAAGAAACTGATGACAAACAAATTGCAAGAGAAAAAAAATGGGTATAAAATGTTGTGTAATTAATATTAATGATAACATTTATGTTGCAGGTTATTTGATCACAATTGGAACACGAACAATCATTCAAAAAGAAAAGTGCTTGTTAAAAATAAATTTATTTACCAAAAGAAAAAACAAATAAAAATTTTCAGCTTTATTTTATTATTTCGCTTCTCTTTTTTAAATTTTATTTTATTTTATTAATAATTAGGACTCTCAAAACTACACATTATATCTTCTTTTTAATTGAATTTAATCTCTTTTTGACTTTTTTAGTTCTTTCTTTTACTTCCAGTTTAAATTATTATTTGGTTCCTTTTTCAAATTGTATCACTTCAGAAGGAAATAATAAGGTTTATTTTTTGTTTTATTAATTTGTTATTATTTTGGGAGGTTCAATAGCAAATTCAGAAAGTCTAACCTATCTACACATTTGTATCACTATCCAAATATGAAAATTTGTTCTAATTAAATATCTCTTGCCATGATTAATCAGCAATTGAAAGACAAATTCATTCTACAAATCAGAGCTAGGTAAATAATGAATTATGTATCTCTGGTAATATTATAATGGACGAGTAATCAATGATGTATTTATATTAAAAAACAAACATAACAGATTTATAAATATATTGATTTTATATATCTTATTGATGGTATATACATTAATCATATGCTGACGACAATTCTCAGATACATCCCAATGTTATTAATACAACAGGAGTTATTCAATCATCTCGAAGTTTACATACAAAGTTCATATGAGAAATAACTTGTTCTATGATTATTATTTAGATGAAATTTTCAATTACTTGAATTGAGGAAGAATTATTAATAATAATAAATCTTCAAACGAATTTATTCAGTTTTCAGTTTACTATCAAATCCAGATGATTGATCATAAAAATATAGTTAAAAAAATCATATTCTTAATAAATTTGATTTTTATTGTCAATAAATTTTCAGAATATTATTTTCCTTACAACCTTGTCATATTTACATTTCAAATATTAGTAAGGATCATTTATTTAATTTTTTTAAGTAAATTATGAAATATTGATACTGATTTGATCATTCAACGATCATGATTAGATCAAAAATGTACGTACATTTTGGTAGAAAGCAATCAAATATTTGTTTATAAAAACTTTTTTTTTTATTTTGGAAAAATCAATAATAAGCTATTTTTTTGATAGTTTTAGCAGTACGGACTGTAAGAGTATTACGATTTGTAGACTTTTTTCCTTATTTTTTGCTTTTTTTTTATTTTTAATAGTCACTTAAGATATTATAATTATTGTATAGAAAATTTCTCTAAAATGGAAATATCATCAAGTTTATTTTTTTCAATTTTCAAAACCAGATGAGGATGGCACTATTAATAAATTTTTTTTATTTATTAAGTAAATTATAAAAGGAAAAAATAAAAAATATTATTATTCAAATTTATCAATTACTAGTTAATAGCTAAAATAATTTATCTAATTTTTCTGTCAAATTCGATAAAATCAACAAAAAATCACAACAAACTCAAGTTAATACTGCAATAATTTTAGACAGGATATTCACTATCATCGTAAAGTCAATCTCCAATTAGTATTATCATTATAATACAATAGATTTTAATAATCATAATGTAATATCTATATAATAACATTTAATGAAAACAAATGGACAATTTCCATTAAATGAAGAAAATACTCCTATTTATAATAATATATAAAAATGTGAATATGAAAGGTGGTGAATATTATTCAAAAGTCTTTGTAAACAAATCCCTTCTCATGCTGAGAGAAGACGAGAACAATTCTATGAATGAAATACAAAATTAGCAATGCATATGGCTGGCTGATTAAACAGATCAGACTCCAATTCAAATTTTTCAGCAAATCAGCCAAATCAGCTCAGTCAATCAAACTAGCCAAAAGTTCTCAAAGTCAACAACAAATAATTCAATGTTATATGTGTTACTGAATTCATCATCCTATAATTAGTCAGAATAGTGTTAATAGCAGTTCTTTGATGTTTATGGATTATAAACAGAGTTTTAAGGTAAGTAGAAGATATTGTGTTTATTGTTTTACTCATTTAATTAATAATAATCTTAATTCTAATCTAATATAAACTTAGATATCATATTACCTGCAACGTTGGTATTTTATACAATATGTTTATTAATTATATCTTTCAGAGTTATTATAATAATAATGTAAAAGGGAAATAATGTATAATTTTACAAAGAAATATTAGTAATTTAATTATTCTATTGTATTCGATTAGTTTCAGGGCATTATGTCCTATTTCTGTTTAGTTTTGTAGATCAATAGCCCAATTGTCTCCTGGCCAAATTGTCTGCAGGCCAAATTGTCTCCTGGCTAATATGCCATCTGGCCATTATGTTTCAAGAACAAAAAGGCCTCTGAACAATTAATTCTTACTAAGTTTTAAGTATAAAAGAGGTGAAATTTCGCTTGAAAAGAATGTATCAAGTGTTTCATATATTTCCTAGATATAAATGATAGATAACATTAAGCATATATTTCTTTTCTTTTATTTGTAATGAATAATTAAAGTATATAATAAATTACGTATTTGATCGTATAGAATATCGAAAATTGAGGCAATACCTTATTTACGTAAATTTATGTTAAGTATTCCATTTGTTATTAATAAAGACACTTAAATAAATAAACCTTCTGCTTACCTTTTCTATTGTTTATAACTATAAAAGTTTTGAACTGTATGCAACACATAGTACCTTCTGCCAGAAAATTAAAAAGAAATTATTAATTAATTGTATATTTCAAGCGTATATTGAATGAAATAATATATACGATAACTATCACTGGATACTGCGCCGAAGAAATATAACCACTTACCATTGAGATCGATTCTGTGAATATTGTTATCCTTTTGAATTTCCATTAACAATCCAATTTCAGAATTTTTGGAACTGGTATTCTGATGAATATCCTGCATAGAACTTTTCAAGATATACTCAACAGTATCTTAAGGAACTTTTCTATACCAGAGGAATAGAAGAAACTTGGACTGCTATTTTTAAATTAATATTTAGTATAAGATATCATAGAATTCCAGAAGAATCATATATAATAATCTGACAAACCTTATATAACACATTTATCAATACACAAGGATTTCTTTTAGATTCATTTACCATTCTCTACATCGCAAATGAAACCACATCTCCAGTATTGTCTGATGATAGTTTAGGATTAGATAATCCTGGAATATTAAACGATCTAAATTTAATAATTTATATTCAATACCGAACATCTAAATCTTGAGCAATTATTTAGAGACGAAAATCCAATGACCGCCCAAGCAATTGGTCTCCAAAATTTAACGGCAGCTTTATAAGCTCTGTAAGGAGTCTTTGGACTATCAAAGGCAAATAATGCCATTGTAAATTCATAAGCCCAAATATAGGCTCATGTAAATGCATTGGCAAATCCTCTTAGAAAAGAAGCTCGTATGGTGGATATACCTAATTATTAAAGAGGAAATCAAGATCCTGTTGGATGATTAAAAGAGTTCACATGAGCCTATAATGCAAATGGAATTGCTGATACCAGAAAATTAGAAGTGGTACCAGCCTACCTCAAGGGACCAGCCTCTACCTAGTGGATGACAAACTAAGACCTAGCAGCTAACAATGCAAATTGAATTAATGCATGAATAGGGAATAATAAAAATACTGATTTTATTGTTAATTTCCCTACAACTTTTCAATCATAGTCCTTAGTTAAAATTTGGATTACAGAGCTTGAATGATAACATCAATGACCTAATGAATCTGTTGACACCTATGCGTGTGCTTTGCAAGAACTATACAGGAGAATTAAAACTTCAGCATTTACATATCCAGTTGCAATGAAAGTTCGTAGATTGGTTAATGGATTATTGTCTGAGCTACATCTAATGGTGAAACCCTATAATAACCAGACTTGGGATGCTGCACTTAACCGTTTAAAGGTATACGAACTTACCTATCAAGACTAAAATACCGTTGCGACATATATAAATAAATATGATACTACAACACCATCTACACAAACCAACGTCTTTAATGAAGCGATAGCTAGTCTAGCTCAATAAATCCAGCAGTTGAATGTTAGAAGAAAAAACTTTAAAAATAATGACATACTTAGATCGTTAAATTTTCAACCAAATAATACGCTTTTGATAACTCTTCAACAGAATAACCTTATTTGCTACCTATGCAAGCAGCCAGGACATATAAAGAGAAATATCCTAATAGTTTTAACATTTTGAGTAATAACCAAAATTATTAATATAATCAAACTACAGGAAGTAACGTACAAAGTCCTACCCACCCAATATAACCAACTGTTAACGTTACTCTGATAATAGGAGATAACAATCTTAAAACCCGCAGTTGCTATAATTGTTATCACAATTAATGCAAGATAATACGCAAAATTAACATTTAAACTAAATGGTGTACATCATGAGGGTGATGATACAGAACCATTAGTTATTCCCTCAAACTTATCCTTAATTGAATCTTATCCAGTAACTAGAACATAAGTCAAAGCTGCTCAAG